GGTGTTGACCTGCCGGCGCTTCCAGTCCATTTTCCAGGATGAAATTAAACCCTCGTTTCCAGCGCGCCACTTCCTGCTCGTTCCAGCAGGTCGGAGCCGCTGGCCAGGAGCAGCCAGACGCTGCCTGTCTCTCTCCTCGCCTGGATCCCCGCCAGCTCCGGGGTCGTGTCCCCCCAGCCCCGGGAGGCAGGACCGGGCCGTGTCCCCCGCCAAGGGGAGCGCTCAGACACGAAGTGACCAGGCCAAAGTCCGGCAGGGAGGCAGCGGCAGAGACCCTGACCCGCGGCACCCCACTCCCTCCTGGATGTGGGGGCTGCAATGCCAGCGGTGAGGGGGCAGGAGGGACCTGCCCAGCTGGGCCAGAGTTTGCTGGATCATGGGGCAGGGTGGGATTGGCCCCTGCTGGGAGCCCGGAGCGCTGGGGCTGGAGCTCGCTCCGAGCAGCGATGCCTGGAAGTCTCCGCAGGACCTCACTCGGGGATGCTCCCCATCACCAGCGCCTGCCTGGGGCATCCCGAGTGGCTCCGGGCCTGTCCTAGGTGGGGAAGGCAATGGCTTTGCTGGGAGCTGATACTGGGGGTCGCACTTGTAACGGAGCCGGTGCAAGGGGCAGCCCCGGGGCTCCGAGGAGATGCTGCAGTCTGACCCAGAGCTCCCAGCTGAGCCCGCAGCCTGGATTTGCAGACAGCAACCCAGAGGGGCTAGGGCTCAGCAGCCGTCCAGGTTGTCCAGGCCTGGGCCGTTCATCCAGGTCTTTCGGGATGGGTGTTTCAGCTCCATCCCCCTCCCCATGCAAAGGCCCCAACCCCGCGGGGCAAGCAGGGGCTCGTGGGCTCCGTGTGGGGCCGTGGGACTGGACCGGGGGAGCCACGAGGCGACCCAGCAGGGAGGTTTGGGGGCAGCGGAGGAGGAGGCTGAGATGCGGAGGCGGGCAGCCATGAAGCTGTTCATTTGCCTTGGGCTCCGGCCAGGCCAAGCTGGCGGCGGGCGGGAGCTGCTCCTCGCTCTCCCTTCTTCCCTTCCCCGTTTTATTGTCCTATTTTGGCTGCGCCGGAGGGTAACGAGAAGCAGCTGGGCCAGAGGGGGCTGGCGCGGGCGCTGGTCCTGCCGCGCAGGCCCCGGTGCAGAGAGCGCCGTGCCAGCTCCTGCGTCAGCCTTGCCAGGACGCTTCTGGGATGGGGGCCGAGGCGGGAAGGTGATGCTCTCCAGGGTGGCCCAGGACGGGGTCTGCAGACAGGCCCTGCTCAGCCACCCCACGCCGGGTCTCGCTGCACCCGGTGCCCGCTGGAGGGTCTAGCCCAGCCCGGGGTGCAAGCCTGGGAGGCAAGAGGACACAGCAGGGGGAAAGGGTGGCAGCAGCACCGCGCCCCCTCGCAGCATCTTCTCCTCCTGCCCCCCATCACCTTGGCTGGTGCCTTGACCCCCACCCGGCTCCCAGGGCAGGGAGTCGAGGCAGCCTCCATCCAAGACATCCCCAGGGCCAACCCGCCCCGGCCAGCCAGCTCTGAGCTGGCCACGCGGTTTCTGGTAGCAATGAAAGCCAAAGCCGGCTCGGATGGCGGTTTGCAAGGTGGGACGTGCAAGCGGCACTGTTCTGCACCGCGAGGGCTCGGCTCGCTGGGATGCCTGTGGCCTCTGGTGGGGGGGCTAAATGGGGGGAGTTAGTTTAGTACCTGATGCTGGCTCGCGGCATGACAGCAGAGCTTCAGCACGGGGGTGGGAGGCAAAGCCCCGAGCCAGCTTGGCCCCAGTGCAGAAACAGCCGAAGCATCCTCTGTCCCCTTGCAGGGAGCTGCTGGGGCCGGGATGCACCTCCGCCGTGAGCCAGGCGACCCAATGCCCTGTATGGGACCCGCGGGAGGCAGGTGCCTGCTGGGTGGGAAGCAAAGCTGGAAGAGAGGAGCCCGTTGCTCATGGAAAGGCCCTGGCGCCCTGTGCCTCAGTTTCCCCTCCAGACAGCGAGCCCCCTGGGGCGGGGCCTGTGCCTTGCGGGTGCTCAGGGCACTGTTCCAGGGAAGTCCGCCTGCAGGCACCAGTTGCAGACCCCCTGTGCCCAGCTCCCACCCAGGGGGCTTGCCCTGCCTGGGCCGTCCCTGCCCGACTTCCCACCCGGCGCCGGCCAAGCCCAGGGCCTGACCCCGGTGACTCCCCACCGGCCGGGAGGGGCAAGGCGCCGCATGCCGGAGCTGCCTCGAAGGCGGGATGGGCCGGCCGCTGACTCCACACAGCGCAGAGGAGTCTCCTTCCACCCGGGACGGGCTCCCTGTCCCCAGCTCCTGAGCCGCAGGGGGGTCCGGGCCGGATCCTGCCTCCCCCCACAGCCTTACCCCCTACCCTGCTGTGCCTACCTCCCTTGCACCACCAGATTTGGGGGTTTCCTGCCATTCCCAGTGGCCTGGAGCAGCCGACACCAGGCAGAGCCTCTCCCCCGCGGAGCCAAAGCCCCTTGGGCTGGGCAGGATGACCAGGCAGCTGCTGGCACCGCAGGGCACAGCCCCCAGGCAAGAAACCAGGCTGCCGCGGACTGGGAGATGTGGGGGCAGGTGCCCCGGGGTCTGTCCCTGCTTCAGAAGAGGCACAGGGTATGATGGGGACCCCGGATGCCTGGGCCCACCATGGAGGAGCGGGCTCTGGTGTGCCCCCCAGCCTCCCCTGCCGTCTCCCTCGCCCCAGCACAGCAGCAGGGTTGGAGGAGAGGGGGGTACCCCTTGCACTGCCCGCATTACAGCATCAGGCTGCGATGCCCAATGGCCGGAGCACGGGGAGCAGCATGCAGCTGGGTGCCAGCTGTGTATGGCCTCTGCCATCCGCCTCCCTTCTCCGTGCCTCGGTTTCCCCACCCGTCGCATGGGGTCAATCCCCACTGGGGTAGGGGCTCGCGAGGCCCCTGCACATCCCCGAAGGCCGCGAAGAGGCACAGAGCTGGCGCTACGATGTGACATGCTGCTTTTATTCCAATACCACGTGCACAACAAGGCATGAGCTCGACCGAGGCGCTGCTTTGCCCCAAAGCACCGGCCGCGGCGGGATGGAGGGAGCGGAGAGCAGAGGGGCTGAGGCTGAGGCTGGGGCTGGGCTGGCCCGTGGGTCGGAGAGGAGAGGAGAGCTGGTGATGGATCGGAAGGACCGAGGGGGCTGAGGAGCCTGGTGCCAACCTCAGCTGGGCCATTGCACAAAGGAGGTGGCCGGATCGGTGTGAGGGCGGACGAGACTGGGGAGGGACCAGGGCTGGACACAGGGGAGCCCGAGCCCCACTGGAGCCAGCCCCCGGCAGCGCTGGTGCCCTCCCACCTTGCAGCCAGGCCTGCCGCCTTCCAGCCACCGCAGCTCTTAGGAGCCAGGCCGGGTCTCGGGGCCCGTGGCTGATGGACCGTGGCTTAGCTCGGACCTGGGGCCCCTGCCCTGAGCTGGCTGTGATCCCAGCTTGCCTCTGCCCAGGGAAACCAGACCCCAGCTTGACTCAGCTCCACCCGGATGGCGTTCCCGGGGGCACGTCCCAGCCGCACGCCGGCGTCGCTGCTGCTCCACAAGTCACAGCAGCAAAGGGGATGGCCCAGTGAGGTTAAATGCACCCTGCAGACACCGGGGCTGGCTGTCCCCTGGCGCCGGTCTCAGCTGAGTCTGCCCTGGTCCGTCCCCTCCGTTCACCCAAAGAGATGCCAGCGAGTCGCTGCACAGCGGCAGGGCTCTGGGGATGCTGAATGATCCCTCCTGGCCGGGGGGGGTCTGGAGAAGCGGGGAGCTGGCCTGGAGGATGGAGAGCAGGGCTGATGGCTGGGTGGCGAGATATCAGAAGGGGTGCACAGACCGGCTAGCCATGGACTGGATGGCTGGGCTGGGTGGGTGGGTGGGTGGAGGTGGAGGAGCAGAGTGAAAAGGGGCCCAGTGGCCTGCCTAACAATGGTTTGGGGGGACAGATGCCTTCGTGGGCAGACAGGGAGGCGGATCCACCAGGGCAGGGAGCCCGGCCTGGCTGTGTGCAGGGCCCCCTCCCTGGGGCGAGCGGAGCCCACGACGTGCCCAGCTGCCGTGCAGGGAAACAGCCCCTCCAGACCAGTGAGAACAACCATGTATTTTATAATAAATAACGTACAGACGCGTGCGAGCTGGCGACCCGCTCTGGTGCACGAGACCGTCCTGCACCGGGCACCGGGGCTCGAGGCGCCCGCCCCTGCCCTGTGAGATGCCCTTGGCTGACTCAGCAGGGTGGGAGATGTCCTGGGCACACACCGGGGCTGGCAGGGCCCCCTGTTTTGGGGGCTGAGTCTGGCAGTGGGTGCATGTTTCCAGTTGGGCCCCAGCTGGGAGGCAGGAGCAGGGGTGGGTGTCCCCGCGTCCGTGGAAGGATCTGTCTGACGTCTTGGCCTGGCTGTTTCGGGGCCGGGACCACGCTGTCCGTCTGTCTTGAGCATGGAAGCAGCGGCTTCAGCAGGGCAGGGGCCAGCGGTGCTTGTGTCCCTTGCCTTGCCAGCCAGCGGATGCCACCTCTTCCACCCCCACCCCCAGCTCCTCCCTCTCTTCCACGGGAAAAGGTCAAGCAAACCCAAACCCCAAAGCTTTGCAGGAAGTGCATCCCCGCCAGTTTACAGGGGCGTTGGTTGTCGCCATGCAGATATATGGACTTTTGGGTAAATCCCCACCAGCTGGATTTTGAAAACAGATGGTCGTTGTGCATTGGTGTCTAGGTGGAAGATGAAGAAAAATCATACGAAAAATCGGATACAAATCCCAACACTGGTCTTTGGAAATCGAACAGCCCTTGATACCCCCCAGCACCGCTGAAGCCCTCGGGGCCAGACGCCTGCATCCGCCACCTGTGCCCGCTCTGGCCTGAGTTGTAGGATGGGATTTCATAGACATGGGGGCTGGAAGGGAGCTCGGGGATCATTGCGTCCAGCCCCCCGCCAGGGGCAGGAAGTCAGTGGATCAAGTGACCCCAGCAAGAAAAACATCCACGTTTTTTGCAAGAGTGGCCAGCAGGACCGTGCTGCCCACGCCGCTCTGCTTCGGGCTGTTGTGCCTAGGGAGGACAGCCTGAGGTTTCTCCTTCTACCCCTCTGCTTGTGGGACGGGGCAGCTGGCGACTGGGACGCCGACGACGCACGCGCCTTCCCTGCCCGGCACTACGAGCGCACCTCACTGACCGACCCCGACAGGGGCACGGGGGGCTGCCGGGAGGAGCTGATGGGGATCCCCCCTGACCGGCCCATTACTGTCACAGCAAGGACATGCGGCACATCCACGTGGCTGCTGTCCTCCAGGCCAGGGCAGTACGACGGGGCAGGTCCGTCCCTCTCGGCTGCCGGGGGCAGGTCTCATCAGGGCGGCGGTGTGTGGGTTTGGGGCCTTCTTCCTTCCAGCCTTAGCTGTTCCTACTGAAAGTTTCCAGCTATTTTCTAACCCCTTGGAGTGAGCGTCTGCATGCATCACGGCCCCTTAGCGCGGGACGTGGGAGCGTAAAGTGTCTGCGGCTCCCTCCCGAGCCCCCCGGCTTTGCGGGGCAGGGTTCGCAGAGAAGTGGGGTGCGCAGAGAAGCAGACACAGAAGCACACCGCGGCGGGGGAGTGCTTCGGGGATGCTGGGAATCCCGGTCCTGCCCCTACGCCCAGGGTCGGCCCCATCCTGCCAAGAGCACCAGGCAAAGATGTCACCGTGGGGCTGGAGGGGACGACGCTGAGCCTCGCTCCCTGGGCTCTGTTCCCAGCATCCCGGGGCCACCTCGGCTCCCACCTTAGGCGGGCGGTTATGGGGATGGTCCCCTGCTGACAGGGCTTCCCCCCAAAAAGCCTCCAGACCGGTCCACAGCGCTGTCCCTCCGACCCCAGCTGCACCCCAAGGAAGGCGGGCGGGTAAAAGCAAGCTGTGACCTGGCTGAGGATGGCGAAGGAGGAGAAACGGAGGGTTAGGGGCTGCAGAGGCCGGAGGGACGGTCAGCCTGGAGCAAGGGGCAGCTCACAGCTGAGCCCGGACCTGGCTCATCCTCCACCGGCTGCTGGGGGTCCCCCGTGCCGGGCCGGGGAGGAGGCTGCGGAGCCCCGAGGCGAAGGCCACCGCCTACGGCTGCCCGCTCCTCCCCATCTCCTGGCGGATCTCGGTCAGGTCCTCGGCGGGTGCCTCCAGCAGGCGCTGGAAGAGGCTCTGCCGGCCAGCCGGGCGCTCCTGGCACAGGAAGGTCACGGCCGTGCCCACCTCGGACTTCATCTCCCGGGAGAAGCCGTCGGAGGTGCCGTGGAAGCAGCGGCCGAGGGCGATCTCCTTGGCCAGCCGCGGGTTCTGGTCGGTGACCGTGTAGATGCCGTAGTTGTGGCCCAGCGGGTCGACGGGCGCCAGCATATGGAAAGCCCTGGTGTCGTTGTTGGGGGCCGCGGGCGGGTGCCGGCCCAGGTACTCCCGCAGGAGGCTGTTGGTGGCCGTGCGGTAGCAGCTGCCCTGGGGGACGATGGAGACCAAGGTGCGGTCCATGCCGCTGTGGTCGAAGAGCATCCCGCTGCACTTGAACTCCACGCAGGCAGCCGAGCTGTGCTCCAGCTCGGGGTCCTTGACGCTGCGGGCGTCCCGCAGGCCGTAGAGCTGGCCCTGCGTCCACGGGTGGCTGCCGCCCACGTTCCTCGACCGCACCATGTACTCCTGGGGCCCTTCCACCTTGACCTTGATGTAGCACGCCCGAAACTCCTGGGGGTTGGGCCACCAGGCCAGGTAGTCCCGGGTCCAGGAGGTCAGGTCGCCCTCCTCGAAGGGCACCACGTTGTACTCGTACTTGTCCACCTCCGCCCGGGAGAAGCGGAAGTGGTTGGCGCTGACGGGCGCCTCCTCGCACTCCCGCAAGCTGCGGTAGGGGTAGAGCGGCCCGTTGACCTCGTCCACGTTGTTGGGGTTGGGCTTGGCCAAGTTGACCCTGAAGGCCGTCTTCTTGGCGCGCGGGTCGGTGTGGTCCAGGCGGCGGTAGCCCAGCTTGCTCAAATAGGGCTGGGACACCCCCACCGTGCTGGGGTCCGGGCTGGGCCGGGAGGCCGCGGCTTCCAGCTCCTCGCCATCCCGCGCGACGGGGTGATAGGGCGG